GAGTGAACTACCGTCATTCAAAAGCTGCTGAAAATTCAAGGATTCAAAAAGAAGAAAGATCCGGTACCTACATCACAATGCAACGGAAAGCGTAGCAGGATCTAATGTTGGAGAAAATGAAAATGAAAGGTTGAAGGACTACAATCCCAAACGGTACGTATTTCCATTTTAGATGTTGTCAGAAAATGAAACCACAGGATAGTGATCCCCTGTATGCTATAACCAAGGTTGCAAAGTCTCATTTCAGCTAAAACAATGTTTTTCTAAATTATGAAATAATTAGATGCCATGATCAAATTTTGAATTGGTAGGATACAAGAAGAGGTTGCAAAGAATGTGTTTGACATATTAAACCTGTTTATTTCACTTCATGAGAGTCACAATCAGCGATTTTTCACAAACTCACTCACTCACTCAGCGATCAGCAAATCGCTGATTGTGACTCATAGAAAGCAAAATTTACAGGTTTTATGTTTCCAACGCATACTTTGTAACCTCTTCTTGTAAGTTACAAGTAAAACATGCCATCATACCATCTTTTGGTTTTATTATTCCGAAAAACATTATTTTAGCTGAAATGAGTCTTTGCAACCTTGGCTATAACAATTCTTGGAATCGACCAACCCCTTCCTGAGAATGATAATAACAGTGTCGGATTGGCCAGTGACATTCAAATGGTCAGCGAGTACTGTGCCAAGTTGCCGAGCGTCACAACTTAACCCCCCCCATTGTGGCCAGTTGCCAAAACCATGCGGAACGGGCATGCATTTTACTAATGCACCATACGAATGCCCATAAACATTTCTACCTATGTGTGTGAATGCACTCGGGAATTAACACACACCATCATGCGCGGGTTCCACTTTTGCTCAAAAGAGGCGTTGCCGTTACTGTCTCCTGATTTTTAGCAGAGTTGCCAGTCTTTTTGATTTGTAGTCTTCGACTACATGTAATTTCATTTTGACGTAGAACTACGTCTGTAATTTCTATAGAGGGGTACACGTTGTGAAACCCGAAAATGGAACATGTAACAAATTATGAACGATTTTGAACGTTAAATTTCAATTTCAATAATTTGATCACTAATCGATTAGTGATATTTCTACGCATCTGTTAAATTTAAGACTCTATCATTTTTCAAAATGTAATTATTGAAAATTGCAAGAATTACGTGATGAACTAGCCTACGACTAAAAATCAAGGTAATAAAGAAAAGAAAAAAAAATTGCAAGAATGTGCAATTGTTGCTTTGATAATTAAAACATCACCGTTTGCTTGCAAAAGGCGATTTCCCTAACACAGATTTCAAAGTTGAATTCCATACGGTCTCACCAAACTTTGTTTATTCAATCACCGCGTTATGAGCACTGGCGTGCACAGGGTGGGGCAAGGTGGAGCAATTGCCCCACCTTTAATAAATAAGATTTTAATTTCCACATTTACAAAATTATGATATAAAATAAATTGATTTTTGATAACTTGATTTGAAGATAAAATTACTTCATTTCATACTATAAGGGCACTGAAAACCTTTTATTGCATCAATTCCTTTGAGATTGAGATTTGTGCCTGAAAATTGCACCACAAAGGTGCATGAAGGAACAAACTTCAAAGAAATTTTTTGGTCAAGGTGCATACAAAAAATTTCTTGTGTAATTTTTTTTTCAGGGTGGTTCATGGAGAGTTAAAAGAAGAAGGTAAATTTAAGGTTGAGAAAATTCACCTTCACGGTGGTTAATCGAAGAAAAAGCTTTTTATTTAATAGTTCTGGTGTAAAAATATCATCAAGGTGGTGCATTGAGGGACTGATCAAAATAAATAACTCTGGTGGAAAAATTGAATCACGCTAATAATTTGGAGGTGCACATTTAACTGAAAATTTCTGGTGGAAAGTTCGCAAAACTGTGGTGAATGTAGCAGCAAGGTTTATTCATTTTTCTGGTACATAATTTACATCGTTCTGATGAATGCAAGCTTCATTGAAAATTTATGATGGAAAATTTGCACCATTCAGCATGAAGAGGCAAAGCCTGAAAATTGCACCACAAAGGTGCATGGTGAAACAAACTTCATTGACAATTTTTGGTGCACCGTTCTGGTGAATGGAGGAGCATGCTCTATTGAATATTTCTGGTGCGAAGTTTGCATCGCTTTGATAAATGAAATAAATAGAAAATTTCTGGTGGAAAACTTGCACTGGTCTGGAAAATGAAGGTATAAGCTTTATTTAAAATTAAGCTGTATTGAAAATTTTTGGTGGACCGTTCTGGTAAACGAATGGACAAGCTTTTCAGACAAATTTTGGTCTTAAATTTGGATTCTTCTGCTGAATAGAGAAACAAATTTTAATAATAATTTCTGGTGTAAAATTTGCACCATTCTGATAATTGGAGGGAAGCTACTTAACTAAAAATTTATGATGAAAAATCTGGAAGTAGGTGCAAGCTTTACTTGGTGAAAAACCTGCAACATTCTGATGATAGGAGAAGCAATCTATATTGAAAATGTCTGGTAGAAAATGGAAAAAGGAAATCTGCACCAATCAGAACATTGGAGGAGCAATGTTTATTGAAAAAAAAAGTGGAAAATTTGCATCGTTTGGTCAATTAAAATTTTCTGGTGTAAAATTACCTGGGGGCAAGTTTGTATTGAAAATTTCTGGTGTAAGATTTGCAACAATCTACTGCATGCAGGGGCAAGCTGAATTGAAAATTCCTGATGTTAAAATTGCACAGTTCTGGTGAATGGAGTGGAGGGGCAAGCTTTTGAAAATTTCTGGTTGAAAAACTACAACGTTTTGGTGAATGGAGGGACAACTTAAACTTGACTTCCGAAAAGAACCTCAAGGATATTGAATTCTGAGGACAGTTCCAAAAGAAAAGATTTCTGGGGATAATTTAATGAAAATGCTGCGAATAATTTCTAGTGAATCCTGCTGATAGTTCCAAGATAATTTCGAAAAAAATACCGAGAGAATCAAATTTTGAATGAAAGGGAATTTCGAGGATAATTCTTTCATTCTGGGAAGAATTTTTGGAGAATACAGAGGAAATTCTTCTGAAACTTTAGGGGAATTTCAGTTCCAAGGTGTTCGAGAAAAAAAAAGTTCAATAATATTCCGAGAAGAACCTCTAAGATATTGAATTTTCAAGGGCAGTACCAAAATATTTTTGGGGAGAGTTCAAATAAAATTCTGCGGATAATTTCTAGTGCATGCTGCAGATAGTTTCAAGATAATTTCAAAAAGAATACCGAGAAAATCAAATTTTGGGTGAAATTCCAAAGGGATGTTCCGCACTGTTTGAACCTTGTACTTGTCGACGCAGTGTGCATACAAAAGGAGAATGCAATTCTTATTGGTCATTCATGTCGGGTTGTCGGTGCTATCACCACCATCTGACATGACTTCAGCTGAATCCAACCACCAAGGCAACATTGCAGCAAATGTATCATTTCGGTTAAAGCCCTACTACTGCAACCATTTGACGAACCGATCATGATCCACATTATCGATGGGATTAAATTGCCAATTCTATAAGCTGTCCGAAAGCAGTTTGCATTGCAGAAGATGAACCACCACCTGAGCAAAAAAATAAATAAAATCAGCTAAATTGAACAGTAGGTAAACAGTGGTGGATAGACAGCACCATAGAAAAAAATGCCCCTCCTTAACAAGATTCCTCTGCACGCTAGTGGTTATGAGTGGTGGTGTTCTCCAGTACACAACGAAAGGCTCCCCGCAAGCAGCTAGCTTCCAAGGCTGGCCTCAATCGCTGATCGGATTCAGTTCCAATCACCGTGTGTGGTGGTGTCTGGTCGTCGACATCAGCAGCAGCAGTGTTATCGGCGCGTGGTGTTGAACATTGTTCTTCAGTACACAACGAAAGGCTGCCTGCAAGCAGTGAGCTGCAGCCCACATGAGCGTCCATAGAAGGAGGAAGAAGCCGCACCGCTATTGATCGGAATCAGTAGCTCTTCGTGAGTCACTGTGGGCCATCTATGCCAAGCGCATACAGCTCACCAGCCTCATCTGTGTTTAACACCCTAATAGCTCAGCATTACTAAACCATAACGGCAAAACGGTCCTTTTCAGGACCACCATAAATTTATAAAAGAATACCTAGGTGACTCTCTTGTGGAACCCCCGATGGTATATGTAATACTTCGGATCTGGAATCACGTACCTTAACGAAAGCCTTCCTGGATGATAAGTATGACTTCAACCAACAAACGATCCACGGTGGAAGACCAAGGCGGTTTAGCTTCATAAAGGCTAGGTCGTGAGGGACTTTGTCAAAAGCCTTAGAGAAGTCGATGTAAACGGAGTCCACTTGCTGACGCTTCTCGATGCTACCTATAAGAGTGTTCGTGTAAGTCATCAAGTTAGAGACTGTCGAGCGCTTTTTCATGAATCCATGCTGAAGCTCTGAGATTATGGGTTGAACAGCTGGATACAACTTCTCATGCAGAAGACTTTCGAGAACTTTGGCCAAGCAGTTCAGGATCGAGATAGGTCGGTAATTTTCTACTTCTTGCATGTTACCGGACTTGAAGATTGGTGTAATTGAGGCATCCGGAAAAAACGCCATCCTTAAGCGATCGATTGAAAAAAGACATAACGGGAGTGACCAACGATGCTCCACAGTTCTTGACGAAAGACGGTGGAATACGGTCCGGGCGAGAGAGAGTGAGAATAGCGTCTTGACTGAAAATGAGCTGCTGCAGGTGAATGTCGTATCTTGGTAGCTGATCAATGTATTGCTGCGGTGGAGGAGTTTGATCGGGTTCGAAGACACTTCGGAAAAAGTCAGAGAGAATTGCTCAAATATACGGATTACTTTATCACCATGCGACACATTACCATACCAAACATTTTAATCGAAAGTTTAGAATCATTTATAGAGAAACGATTGTAAGTGTGACGAAGGAATATTCCTAGCATCAATAATATAGAAAGGATTTCTTCCAAACTCATTACAAGTACAAAAATCGTTAAACAATTTAGTTTCTTGCTATTATTGCATGCCAGCTAACGTACAAAATATTCCGCATCAACACAATCCAGTAATTAATCGCTACTAAGAAAGCTGATCCACCTACTGAATCATTACAGAACGAAACGCTAAAGACAATCGAACAGAGGATACATAATAATGTATGTTTGTAAGTGAACTGTAAGCATTCGCTATGCGTAGAATGGAAACAGCTTTGAGGCATGTTTATTTACGATGCAGGTACCTAAGCAGCGATTAACAACTATCAAGTTTTGTTTTCATTGGTCTGATTATTTGTTATGCTGGCATCGGCAGCCTCCGCCGGGCTGCTACTGACCATATCGCTCGGTTCAACAGGGCGCTCGGGAATATCGTTCAGAACGTGGGCTCGAGCCTGTTTGGCCAGTTCCGCTTTGTAGTGCTCCGCATCCGCCTCCGTTATCGAATCACGACGATCAGTTTCCTGTAAACCAATTTGCGAGGGAAAAAAAAAGTTTAGATTGGCTAATGTTTCGAATGATGCTTCTGTTAGTTAGTTCCATCCGTGTATTTCGGTGATGCAATTTCATGCAAAAACATTCACATCAGCATGCAACGGACACAGTAAAGGGGATTTTATTCGTGTTTACCCGCAGATAATTGCGCAGATCCAGATCAGCATCGTGACTGCTGGCCTTTATCACCAGAATGCCACTTTGGTGATGCTTTTTCCGTTGTCGGGTCAAAACCGACGGTTGTCCAACCTATTTGCACTCAAGGAAACAGGAAAGCTTTAAAATCACTCTGCACATTCAGCGTAAACTGTGAACAACTATGAAGCATTTCAAAGGAATAGTTGGCACTATTGCAAACATTCAAGTATAAACAGAAAATCCGAAGCTTACACAAATAAAAAAAAAATATAATTCAATTTTAGATGGCTATCCCTCCCGAAAAGCAACCAAATCACAAGCATTCCATTGATTTACCACCAGCCACACGAAACTCACCTCGTCGACCACGGCACTGAGCATCGGTTGGGATATATTCTTGGAAGGATTCAAGCGCGGAGCACTGTCGGCCCGTTTGGAGTTCAGTGACTGATCCGATGCTTTCCCATCTTTCCGCAGCTGCGGATGCGGTGCCTTGTGACTGATCTCAAGTGCCGATTTGAGCAGATCCACCTGTAAAATTCAGTTGAGACGAAATGGAAGTCAACTTAGATAATTTCAAAAACAATGCTGGACGGATTCTCAGAAGGATTGTTTTGTTACATTCAAAATTGTTGCCTACCTTGGAAGCACTGCCACCACCCTTGGGAGCCTTGACGTATTCAATGTTGTAGCTGCTACGTCTTCTGGAGAAGGCATCGCTCATGTCACCCTGTAAATAAATAGATTTGAATGTCTTTTATCAATAAGTCACTGATGAAATGTGAGTATCTTTTCCATTCTAGGAAAATTAGAGTTTCCCGTTCTGTGAATAACGGACGGCCTATACTCTGAAAACATAAAACTGCTTGTTTTTTGGTTTGGACCTGAAACTTGAAGCAATCGATCAGAGGATAAGAGTCGCAGCCGTTTTTAGTTGTGGTTTGTGTTTCTGCAGAAACAATCGATTTTACTGTTAGGTAATAATATCAGTGTAATGGAGTGTGCAAGGAAAAATACGGCTAAGGTTCGATTTGGTGATCAAACAAGATTCGATACACAAATTGTTACCTTTTTTGGCGAGAATATGGAAAAAATCCGGAACAGGTTTCTCATCTATCAAGTATTTCCAATAAAACATTGAGAAAAATGCGTCTGAAATAGTTTTCCTATTTTGCGGAAGAAAGTAAGTACGATGAAAGAAATTTCAAAGTTGAATAGTTTGAAAACTTTAAATCGAATCTTGAAATTTTTCAAATTCTCAAGGCTCACCTCAAGCTGAACATTGCAATAGGTCCTAAGTAACATTGATTGATTCTCTTCGTATATCCAATAAGGTGAAATAACGTGCCTATGGTTACTTGGGTAGTTTCAGCATTTATTTAGTTGCATGATTTTGACGTAGAACTACGTCTTTGTCGACTATACTGGGGTGCAAGTCAAAAAATATGTGTGGTGAAGGAGTGTTAGGTTTTGAACGCTTGTAACTTTGTCATTTATAGATGAAATTAAAATCCAAATACGCCAATCGATAGGATATTACATTACAAACCTGTTGAAATAAATATTTTTCCAATTTTTCTGTAATTAAACTTTTGAAAATGTACAAATGGTAATTTTATCACTGATTTCATGAAATAAGCCTTTTTCCCAAACCCAGTCATCATAAACGAATACCACTTGGTTGCACATCATTCTGCTTGAACCTGAAAAGATATAAAACAGCGCTGCTGTCATGCTTTTGCTCATCAATCATTCATTCTCTGCTTGTCCGTCAAGCAGTACAGTCCGGTATTTGCTCGCTCTGTCGAGTTGTTAGATAGTTATTCCAAACGTTTATTCGCGTCGTCAGTAGTGTCGGTCGCATCGTGTGATGGGAAGACAGCGCTCCCGGAGCAGGCTCCGTGAGAAAGCGGAAAAGAACAGTGGTGAGTGTAGCACGAGTGTACCTATTTCAAATAGGTACGCTACTCTTCCCACCGATGTTGGGAATACCACCTCCGCCACGGTGAAGCGATCCAAGAAGAGGAAGAAAAACCAAGGCCAGTCCGATGGTGCGAGTGGACGTGATGACGTAACAGCAACGAACGCCAGCGACATCGGTGATTTCGGCGACACCATCGACAACGAAAATTCTGCCGGCCCGAGTGCGGCAAAAGTGAAGCTACCTCCATTGGTGGTAAAAAATGCTCATCTTAATGAGCTCATCACGGATCTAGCGACGCTGGGCGTTAAAGCCGAATACAAGTTGGGCAGAGTCGGCACCAAGGTGGTGCTCCGTACCAAAGCGGAGTATGACTTGGTCATCGCCCACATGAGGACTTCCAAGGTGGAATTCTTCACCCACGACATTCCCGGTGAGAAACCATTCAAGGTCGTCATCAGGGGCCTACCAAACTTCGACCCGAAGTTTATCGAAGCTGAAATCAGGGACCGGTACAAGCTGGCCCCAAGTGCCGTCTATCGGATGACAAGAAGAGACGAGAATGTGAAGGCGTATCCGGATTGCCTTTTCCTGGTACACTTCCAGAAGGGAACGGTGACGCTCAACGCGCTGAAAGCCATCCGCTCCATCAATTGCATCATCGTCCGCTGGGAGCCATACCGTGGCGGCCATCGCGATGTGACTCAGTGCCAACGGTGTCTGAACTTTGGACACGGCACCCGCAACTGTAACATTAAGCCACGCTGCGGCAATTGCGCTCAAGACCACGCCACTTCCGACTGCCCTGCGGATGAAGCCGTGGCGTTAAAATGCGCCAACTGTGGTGGTGCTCACCAAGGTTCCGACAGACAGTGCTCCAAACGCGAGGACTTCAAACGCATCCGAAAACAGGCGGCAGTTAACAACCAACCAGGACGCAAGAAGGACAAAGTCCCGGCATTTCGGACGGAGGATTTCCCGCCTCTTCGTGCTCCTCAGCAAAGGCAAGCGAATTCGCGGGTGCATTCCGCTCAAGCAACTTCTGGTGATTCTGCTGGCCAAAGCTCTCCATCCCCCCCTGGATTCTGGAGACAACCACCAGCGCAAAACAACAACCCCGATCTGTTTTCAGCGGATGAACTGATGTAAATTTTCGTCAACATGACCGGTGCTCTACGTAAGTGCCGCAATAAGCCCGAACAGATCCAAGTGCTCGGTAAGTTCATCATCCAGTATGGTGTCTAAACCGCTAACCATCGCTACTTGGAACGCTTGCTCTGTAAGAGCAAAACAGATTGAGCTTGCCGACTTCCTCCGCAAGCATAGCATCGACGTGGTTCTTCTAACCGAGACCCACCTAAAGTCCGGTGACAGCTTCTGGTTGCCTGGCCACAACATTATCCGGCTTGATCGCACCAGCTCCAGGGGGGTGGTGTAGCGGTCATCGTCAGAAAGGGAATCAAGTTTTGCACTCTGCCCCACATCCGCACTTCTATCATCGAGGCCATTAGTGTGGAGGTGGAATCACCAACTGGAAACGTCCGGTTCATCGCTGTTTACTGCCCACGCCAGTGTACCGCAAGCAACGGATTAGGAATCCAATTCAAGAAGGACCTGACCGCCATCACCCGTACTAGCTCCCGATTCATCGTTGGGGGCGACCTGAACGCCCGCCATGAAGCTTGGAGGAACTACCAGAGGAACCGGAACGGATGTCTATTGTTCGACCACGCACAACATGGTCTGTACACTGTGCAATTTCCCGACGAACCAACTTTCATCTCTCCAGCGGGAAATCCCTCCACGCTGGACTTTTTCCTGTCAAACATCGGACTATCCAAGCCGGAGACGCACAACGATCTCAGCTCCGACCACCAACCGGTGGTGACTGAAGTCGGTGTCAATGTGGTACCTGCTAGAAGCTGCCTGCGTAAAGACTACCACCATGTCAACTGGGTGCAGTACGGACGAATGGTGGACAGCAACATCGATGAAAATCCACTACTCAACACCGTAGATGACATCGACCGGACGTTGGAAGGGCTCCAACAGGCCATATCCATGGCTGACGAGGCATACGTTCGACAAGTTCCTGTGAGGGGTAAGTTTGTTGCTATTGATTTCCACACCCAATTACTGATTCGGTTGAGAAATGTTCGTAGACGGCAGTTTCAGAGGACTGGAGATCTGGGCAAAAAACGTGAAATGGCCGATCTGAATAGGCAGATTGGTTCCAGAATGGACTCACTCCGAAATGAAAGTTTCGGGCGTGTTGTCCAGAATCTGGATGACCGCTCCAGACCATTCTGGAAGGTAGCCAAGGTCCTGAAAAATCATCCCAAACCCGTTCCACCTCTAAAAGTCGAAAATGATGACGATCGGCTTTTAATTACCCCACAGGAGAAAGCAAATGCGATCGGCGAGCATGTCGCTTCATCGCATTTGCTTGGCTCGACTATCCAAAGTCCGCTCGATGATCAGGTTGCGCAATGCGTTCAAAACCTGGATACCTCCCCTTGTGTCGTGCCTCCGGCGGATATGATTACAGTACAACAAATTTGCTCAGCGCTGAAATGCACCAAGAACATGAAGGCTCCCGGGTTTGACGGTATATTCAACTTGATCTTGAAGAGACTCAGCATGAAAGTGCAGTCTCTTCTAACCGCTATCTTCAACAGATGTTTGGAACTGCACTACTTTCCAAGCATCTGGAAAGTAGCAAAAATCATACCGATCCGCAAACCCGGTAAGGATCCAACATTGTCTTCAAGCTACAGACCAATCAGCCTCCTTTCAGCGCTGAGCAAATTGTTCGAGAAACTCATTCTCAATCGTTTCCTCAAGTTTGTCGAGGAAAGCAACATTCTCCTTCCGGAACAGTTTGGATTCAGAAAGGGACACTCCACCAATCATCAGCTAGTACGGGTGATGAATAACATCCGAAGTAACAAAGCTGTATCCAAGTCCACAGCCATGGCCTTGTTAGACGTTGAAAAGGCGTTTGACAATGTTTGGCATGATGGACTTGTGTACAAGCTTTGTAACTTCAACTTTCCTTTACATCTTATTAAAATCACCCGTAACTACCTCCAGCAAAGGTCTTTTAAGGTATCGTTGAATGGTTGTCTCTCAGACACGTTTTCGATCCCAGCAGGAGTCCCGCAAGGTAGTCTGCTGGGCCCCTTGCTTTACAGCATTTACACTTCCGACATTCCTCCCCTCGGTGACGGTTGCGTGTTTTTCCTGTTCGCAGATGATACCGCAATAGCCGTCAAAGGAAGGATGCCTCGCGAAATAACGAACAAACTTCAACGATGCCTTAACGCCTTTGCTGATTATGCCACCACGTGGAAAATCAAAATCAATGCCTCCAAAACACAAGCGATCATGTTCCTCCATCGGCAATCGCCCAAACTGAAACCGGCTCCATCTTGTACTGTAATCATGGATGGCACAAGGGTTGAGTGGTCCGCCGAAGTAACCTATCTCGGGATGTTGTTCGATGAAAAGCTCCTCTTCCGTTCGCATGTAGAGAAAACAGTAGTCAAGTGTTCTGCCTTGGTTAGGTGTCTGTATCCGCTGATTTGCCGCAGATCCCGCCTCTCAAGGGTGAACAAACTGGCCGTCTACAAACAAATCATAGCACCTGCGATCCTCTACGCAGCTCCGGTGTGGGAATCATGTGCACAGACTCACAGGAACAAAATTCAGGTCGCACAGAATAGAGTGCTGAGGATGGTTCTTGATCGTCCTGTCGACACTAGAATAACAAATTTACACGAAGAGGCAGGAATTGCCAAAATAGATTC